TTCCACTCTCTCTCTCTCTCTCTCTCTCTCTCTCTCTGCCCATAGCACGTAAAGAATAACAAGCGGAGGATCAGGGTATACGCGTTACGTACGTTAACGTTACGAGGAACGAAAACAACGCAAGGCGAGTAAACCCGCCTCCCGATTTATCGTCGATCAGCATCACGGTTGTGGTATTAAACGAAAAAAGAGTTTAAGGGGAAAGGAGAGAGGGGTATCGCCTCGCGTCTCCTGGAAACCACTTTCTCGCGAGGCGATACTCTCGACGCGATAAAACCAACCCCCTCACTCCCCACCTGCACAAACGATCCTCCTCCCCCCTCCCCCCCGTCCCACGTTCCGCGGCGAGCGTGACGAGAACCCGAGGGAAGATCCCTCTTCTTCGAGCCGATTCTAGTGGAAGAGCAAACAGACGGACCGGGACGAGGCCGAGTCGTCGTCGTCGTCGTCGTTCGGTCTATCGCGAGCAACGAACTTGTACAAACACCCTTTAACGACGTACACGTACCGTCTCTCTCTCTCTCTCTCTCACTCTCTCTCTCTCTCTCTCTGTGTCTCTCTGTCTCTCTACGCAGCAGGCTCCATCAGAGTCCAGCCGGCGGCGACTCGGCGGCGAACGAGCGCGGTCGAAGAGGATCGTCGGGCCGGGATCGGCGGCGGCGACGACGACCGTCTGTACTAGACGAAGTAAGTACGAGGATTGGCCGGATGCGTCAAGACGTCGGCGGGCGGGGGGGCGGTGGGGAGCGGGGGTTCCGGTATGGTGCTGTACAGATGGCTACCCCTCGAGGAGAGGCTCGCAGGCCTCGCGCCCCCCGCGTGCAACGCGCTGTAACCCCCGTGCTGGTGGTGCTGGTGCTCGGCCCCGCTGTCCTCGTCCTCGGTCCTGCTGCTCGCCGAGCTCACGTACGTGGACTGCGTGGGCGTGGGCGTGGGCGCGTGCACCGGCGCGACCAAAACGCCACCATTGTTGTTGTTGGCCGGCTTGGTCCACGCGTCGCCGGCCGAGGGGGCGGCCGTGTAACGCGCCGGTTTCCGATTCCGGTCGTTCACCTTCTTCTTCGTCTTGCCGTCTCGCCTCTTCCCCACCACGGAGTCGGGCATTGCGAAACGGAGCTTCTCCCAGAACCTCTTCTCGCCCCACACGACCACGGTGCACGTTTGAAGGAGTAGCTGCAACTCCGGGTCCCGGGCGGGCGCCTCGGTTGCCAACAGGACGACCACTCGCCTCTTCCTCGAGCCGGGCCTGATGTTCTCGAGGGCGGTCCTCAACGCGGCGCGGAACTCGGCGTGTTGCCACTCGTTGGCGAGGAACACGGGCGAGAATATGATGACGATCCGCCTGGCGGCCGCCGCGGCAGGCGGCACGGCCTCCTGCGCCCTGGCGGGCGGCAAATCCCGCCAGTGGAGGCAGAGCGCGAGGCCCGACTGTTCCAACTCGGCGGCCAGGAACCTGGACACGAAGTCCTCGTCCCTCTCGCTGTACACCACGTAACCGTCGTAGAGGCGGTCCCTCTCCTCGTCGGGCGGCGCGGTCATCTTGCCGAGGCGGAGGCCGTAACGGGCGTGGGCCCATAGGCGTACGTCCTGGCGGAACGCGAACGCGAGGGCGACGAACAGGGAGATGGCGATCACCGCGACCAACGCGCCCGCCAGAAGGGGGACCAGGTTGCCGCCTAGGAGAGGCAACTCCTCGATACCTCGGCTCACCGCCTCCGTGGACGGTCCCCGCAACGCTTCATCGCCTGGGCAAGGGTCTCCACTCCGTCGCGGCAGTACATCTTCTCGGGGTCGCCGCGATGCTCGGCCAGCCAAGCGCGCAGCTTCGCCGCGTTCCCGCACTCGCAGCTCCACGCGTTCCCCTCCAACGCGACCACCCTCGTGCCGTCCCCCACGCTGGGCAACGCCTCCCACGGGCGAAAGTTGACGATCCGATTGCTGTCCAACCTCAACACCTCGAGCTTCTTCATCTTCTTGAACGTGGTGTTGCCCACCGTGGCGATCGCGTTGTGGTCCAAGTACAGCTCGGACATACGCTCCAACTGGTCGAACTCGAAGCCTCGCAACTCGCGAAGCGCGTTGTCCTCGAGGTGGAGGACGCGCAACGCGCCCACTCCGTTGAACGTGAAATTGTGAATGCCCGATATCCCGCTGTTGTTCAGGTAGAGAACCTCGAGGCGGCGTTTCCCGATGAACACGTGGCTGCCCAACTCGCCCAACTCGTTCCCGTCCAGATATATCTCGGTCGCGTCCATCGGTATCCTCTCGGGGACGTGGTTGTAGCCGGCGTTCGAGCAGTCGACCACGTTGCTCGACCAGCTGTGGTCGTGGTAGCACGAGCAATTGTCGGGGCAGGTCATCTCGCAGTCGCACGCGTCGAAGTCGCAACAGTGGCACAGGGCGAAGCAGTGGGCCTCGTAACGGCACAGGAAGTCCTTCGACCGCAACGAGAGCAACGGTCTTCGGGGGGTGGCGCGCGCGTGCACCATCTCGCACGTGACCGAGTCGAGGTCCATGACACGGGGATGCTGGCGTAGACGCGTGGCCATCTCGTTGATCCTCGGCAACCATTCCATGGTGCAGTTGCACAGGATCGGGTTCTCGCCTATGTAGAATTGCGGCAACTCGAGGTGGTCGGGCACGGTTTGCAGGGATATCGCGGCAACGTCCAAACTCCTTATCTCGTTCCCGTGCAACACCACCTTCTGCAGATTCCTCTTCTGGTAGAACGTGGCCGGGGCCACCGTGCGTATCCTGTTGTTGTTGAGGAACAGGGTCTCCACGCTGTCGGGCACGTTCGCCTCCCCGATCTCCCCGATTTGGTTGTGACTCGCGTCCAGCATCTTTATGCGCAGCGTGTTCCGTACCGCGTAATAATTGCCCAGCTCGCTTATCTGATTCGCGTGTATGTCCAGCCACTCTATGCTGGGCGGAAGGTGGCTGTAGTCGAACCACAGCAGCTTATTGTCGGACACGTTCAACCAGACGAGGGTCGAGAGACTGGTGAACGCGCCTCGGATCTCCGTCAATTGGTTCCCGTCCAATCTGATGGCGCGCAGCACGGGGTTGGCCGCGAAAGCGCTTTGCTCCACGTGACGGATGTAATTGTTGGCCAGATTCAACACTTGCAACGCGGGCAGGGCGGCGAACGCCTCCCGCGACACGTTCTCCAGCCTGTTGTCGACCAACCCCAACCCGTACAACTCGCTCAGACCTGCGAACGAGTCGTTCTCGATCCGCGACACGTGGTTGTTCCCGAGATCGAGGGTCTTCAACGAGCGTAGCACGCGCACGGCGTACGGGATCTCGGTGAGATAGTTGCCCCTCAGGGACAGGTCTTGGAGCCCGGTCAGATTGTCGAACACGTGGCGATGAAGGGTTCTCACTTTGTTCGCGTCCATGAACAGTTGGTTGAGGGTGGTCAGGCCGATCGTGTGCGCCGGATCGAATCTGGCTATCCGATTGTGGGACAGGGTCAACATGTGGAGGTTGGTGAGGGAGCCGAAGCAACCGTCCGTCAACGTCTCGATCTCGTTGTGCTCGAGCTTCAGTATCTGAAGGCTGTACAATCCTTTGAACACGTGGCCGTCGATCTTGGTGAGCGCGTTGTGCGAGAGATCGAGAATCACGAGGCGTACCAGCCTCGAGAACGTGTCCCTGTTCACCCAACGATTCGTCAACTCGTTGCCGCTCAGATCCAACACTTGCAACTCGTCCAGATTGTCCAACAAGCCGGGGGCCAACACCGCCAACGAGTTGTTGCTGAGTATCAGCTCTCTCAACTCCTTCGTCTTGGAGAAGAGCTCGGGCGGTAACGCGACCAGACGGTTGCTCGACACGTTGAGCGAGTGCAACGCCGTCAAACCGGCCAAAGCGTGATCACCCACGGCGTTGATCGCGTTCTCCTGTAGCTTCAACACGGTCAAGCTGCGCAGATTGGCGAGCGCTCGATCGTGAATGGTGGTCAGATCGTTGTTGCTCAGATCCAACACCTCGAGGCTGGGGGTGCACGATTCGGCCGAGTCGGAGAATCCCAGGGAGGCGATGTCCTGTAACTTGTTGCGCGTCAGATTCAACGTGGCGAGGCTCTGCACCGGGCAGAGCAGTTCGGCCGGGAGCGTCCACAGATTGTTGTCGGCCAGATCGAGGTGTTGCAGATGCGCGAGGCCGCGCAACGAATCCCTGTGAAGCTCCAAACTCATCGCCGACCAGTCACCGTTGTGCGTGATCAACGACAAGGCGCGCAAGTTGTGCGCGGACGCGAAAACCCCGCCTGGCAGATAGCGGATCTTGCAATAATCCACGCGAAGCTTCTCCAAACGGGGCAGGGGGGAGAAGAATCCGTGCGGCCCGTCTATCTGGCTCTCGAAGAACAACACGTCACTGCATTCCAAGGCCAAAGAACTGATCGAGTCCACTTGAATGGCCGAGAGATTGCCAATTAGGCTGGGCACGTTGGCGATAGTCCTAACCCTGCAGGCCAGCCCTTTTTCTCCGTCCTCTCCGTCTTTTTTCCACTCGCACCCGCTCGGTGCCTCGAGGCTGGTGATGCTGCGCCCGTGTATCGGGCCCGCGTTCAGAACCAGGGACCAGACGATCCCCAGCACAGCCGCCAAACCGACCCGTGTCGCCTCCATTCCGACCAATTGTCGTTCCTTCCTTCACGCACGCACGCACGCATTCACGCACGCACGAGCACAGACACGGTCGAGTCGAATTCTCAACTGACTCTCCTCTCGTCGCGTGAGCCAGTCGTCGTAAGCGTTCCCGTCGTCACGCACTCATAGTCACTACTCTATCACAACACCATTTCCCGCGGTATGCTACGATTCGGAGTCGATTCTTCTTCGAGGAACGTGTGATACGACACACGCCGTTTTTCTTCCGTTTTTTCGAGGGGGAAAAAGAAAAGAAAAAAGAAAACAGGAATCTCGTTCGATCTCGCCGCCCCGTCGGATCTCACCACTCGACCACTAAACGAGAGAAACGATAATCCGCCTTCGTTCACCGAACGATGCTCGACAAAGGATGCTTCCGCTCCTTTTCTCTCCGAATAAACACCGATTCGGCATAACCGCTTATCGACACTGCATTCCCCCCGATCACTCTGTTGTATCTACGATACCGTGGTCCTTCGAATCCAACGCAACGCGTGACGCCTCCGTTTACAGCGGACTTCGACCCTCGTGAGAAACTACATGTGAAACGTTTACGTTACGAACGGAAGGAACGAAAGGGCGTAAAGTTGGCGCAACGACGTTCCACCGCGAACGCCGGAGAGCAACTGACTCCGAATCCGAATCCCTATTCCGTCGACGGTCACGCACCCTGCATCACTGCCAGCGTGCAGTTAACCCCCCCTACTTCTATCCCCACCATCGGCCAATTTTACCCCCACCAGGATGTATATCCCTCCAACGGTCCCGACCGAATACGAACTCACGCTATAGTAAACTCCTATAGTAACACGCTCGACAAACGCACACCACGATGCACGAGACACGAGCGGGGTAAGCGTGCTAACGTTTTGCGCCACGAGCGGCTGGCTGCCTCGTTGCGAAGATGCAACAAACCAGCTGACTGACAACACTACTTACTAGGTAAACACCAAACTGGTTCCTAGGAGCGTACGGGCGCGCATTTATCAACCGACTCCTCTCTCTCTCTCTCTCTCTCTTCTTCATCCACC